TAAAGGGCTAATGATAACTATCAAAACGCCTGCCATTTGATATAAATAAATAAATAAATACTTCTATGATCAAGCCATCTTCAAAACTAAGCTGTAATCGAACCCTATTCGCTCAAACACCCATGCATTTTGAAAAACAAACTCTACATATCGCCAACTAGTGGAAATTAAGTTGTCGTAATTGAATTAATTCCTACCCAAATGACAACTAATTAAATTTTTAGACTGTCAGTACCACACCAGATCAGAATTTGCACAGAATAGGCGAGGCCATTTTGAGTGTCAGAATGAACGCACAATGAGGAAATCGATTTTTTTAGGTGTAATTTACTTACCATGATGGTGGGTTTAGTTTATGCATGTATTTGGCAGCTCTGCAAGCTCCAGAATAGTCACCCCAGAGTACGGAGACTTCAAAGAATGTTGCCACATCCCAGTAGTCTTGGAGATCCTGTAGGCTACCCTTTCTTCCCGCATTGATGTAAAGCATGTTGCCTAATAAGAGGAAAGGGAATAAAAAAAAGTATTGACTCTTGATTTTGTTGCATTTCTTATAATAAGGCGACGTGATAGGAGGCAACAAAGAAATTTCGAGGATAATTCGCAGTTTTCCTAGCTCATGGACACTGGTGAATGCTTTCATCACCAACCAGATCGCAGTCATCTTCATAGTTAATAGTCTACATTCCCGACCGCTTCAAATCGAAGCTTATGCTAGCCAATCCAAAGATGGAAGTTGGAAAACACTTCTCAAAGTTTAAACTTCGGCTAATTTCGATTAAATGTCTTTTATTTCATTATCTGATGAATACAAAATGGTGTTTTACGGAACGTGAATTCACATGCTTGTAGACAAGTGCAAACTTTTGATCAGAACAGCTGATATCTACAAAATTCTCAACATCGACATTTTTATAGCCGACATTTAAATGAAATGAATACTCTCAAATACTCAATCCGCCGGGGTCTTGTGAACCAAATCGAAATCATAATCTATTCAAGTAGCAATCCACATCCTTTGCCTCCATTAAATGTTAGATTCAAAGCTACCTATATGTCTCACCAATTTCGCACTGTGATATGGAAGTATTTGGATTTAAGAAAAGCCCCCGTTCTCATTAGCTTAACACACAACAGGGATTAATGCCCACGTAATTGAATAGCGTTTTAAGTGTGTTATACTTGTAACATAAAACGATATTACCATCATAGTAGAATCCACAATTAATGAATGAATTGATTAATTAATTAATTTCAATATAGTAGTGTAAATAATCACAATTATGGAGGATGCGTGATCATTTTCATACGACTATTTTGAGAAGAATAGGTAGAAAATTGAACTAGCACGTGCAAGAGAAGAGCTAAAAATAGGTGTTAATATGCCATAATGGGTTCCTTCTAAACAAAGAAAATCAGTCGATATTGTTTTCCATTCTCTTGATTTTTTCGCTACTTAACTTACAGAATAACTAGAATAACTCCACTGTTGTTCCAATACATTTTTGCCACTCTATCCTACACTTCAACACTATTGCGCTAAGAACTTCTCAAGTCATTCGAAATTCCATCGAAAAAACCAAACAAAATTTGTCAATTTAAAGCCCCAATCAGGTGCTAGGATAACTAGCGACTATTCAAGGTGGAAACTAAAACGAGCTCAACAAACTTTGTCTAAAATGGGGTGTGCGATAGACTTACCTCCCCGTGGTGCACTCTGGGCAACGTATACTCAAGCGGCAAAAGTGTCTATAAACCGGCAGTTGACTTCTCACTTCAAACTACCCCCACTGTATGCCATATTCGGCTACTTCTACAGTACTCACTCACCTTTTTCCCTACCTTTGTGTCTGTCTCTTTTACATCTTTGAAACACTCTTCTGTTCCCCCCCCCCTCCCTCTCTCGACATTTTTTCACTTTGATGTTCCCTCCCCTCTGTGAAGCCTGAAGTCAACTAAAGGACTAATTTTAACTAACAAAAAGCCTGCCATTTGATATAAATAAATAAATAAATACTTTGTCTAAAACCGATGACACTAATTAATGAGAGTATGATAGTGTCTAGTTAGAGAAGTTGGTGTTGTTTTATTTATTTATTTATTTATTTGTGTGCGATTTAAGTATCAATACCGCCAAATTATTGATGACTTGAGTATGTGGAGTTGACGACGCTATCATGTCTGAACAAAGGAGAGATTGGAAGTTGCAGCTGCGTTATTTACGCCATAGCAAGCAAGGGTGTCGTGAGTACAGAGACCCCCCATGCCAGACACAAATGATTGGTGCGTGCATCGTGGTGGCAAACCGTTCATTGTATTTTAATGACTAAGGCCTGTGATAGACATATTATCCCAAATAAACGTTACCACAACATGCCTCGATTTCCTCTACATCGATGAGGTAGGGTAGCTAATCCCGTGAGCCATTCCAAACTAGGTGATCTTGTCATATTATATAAGCCAAGGCTCATAAGCAATGTGCTACAAGTACACAACACTTACTTACTCAATTATTAACATGACTTTAATTTATCTAATTATCTTGATCAGCGTATCATATGCCTTAGTTAAGAATGAACGCATTTTATGGAAATTGAAAACAACTTACTTTGATATTTTGCTGAGAACTATCAGATGACGACGACTAGCCGACAAAGCTGTACCAATAAGTCAAACAATTAGCCTATTCTCACCGCACCCCTAATAAAACCCTGCTCACCACAGCCTAATGCAGGTCAAATATGCCGAGGGAAAGTTGAAAGGCGGGGATAAAGTATCAAGTAAATTAGTTGCAATATTTGCATCGATAGAATTCTCCAACCACTAATAAGATTTTCCGAATTACACACTAAGGTACATTATGACTACCTTAAAGAGAGGTGAGTAAACCAATGTCTCAAAGTACCCCCTTATTCTTAAATTGCAGCTGTAAATTTATTATTTGAATATTATATCAAATGGCAGGTGTTTTGGTAGTTATCATTAGCCCTTCAGTTGACTTCAGGCTTCACACAGAGAAGAAGTAGCATCAAGATGAAAAAAATTCGAGGGGGGGGGGGAGACAGAAGAGTTTCAAAGATGTTAAAAAAGACAGACAGACACAAAGGCAGAGATAAAGGTAAGGTAAGGTGAGTATTGTGGAAGTAGTCAAATATGACACACAGTGGGGTGATGGTAGTTTGAAGTCAAAAGTCAACTGCCGGTTAACAGACCTTTTTGCCGTATGGGTATACGTTGCCCTGGGTGCACCACATGGAGGTTAGTCTATCGCACACCCCTTATTTGAATATAAGGGATGGCTTAGTGACCTAGTTAGCTGACAACACTGCAGTGTTCACTGCATTAAAGAGTGATTGCTATTCACGCAATATTATAGGAACTTAGAATGTGGTCAGTAGTATTATCCGCCTAATTAAAATTAACCCCAATAGTGGACAACGCTAAAGGATTAGGACACTTGTCTATTCGTATATACGGGTTCACCTGTTTTCACCAATTAGTTAAAACAAGAAAGAGTTGCGCATTTGAACATCTTAACATATACAAGAGACTTCCATATATATAACGGCCTTAGACAACTTTTGGAGGTCTGCAACTCTTAATGAAAAGAGAACTGATATCAACGTTACATCAATTAACTCTTGCCAATTATGAAGATATTTGGGCTTGCCAAATATGATAGTGAGGAAATAATGCCGAGTTAGAATAACGTACGTCACAGAAATGTCCAAATATACCATTTCTTTCATGGATGCAGGTATTTTGTGACCAAGTTAGGCCAATTTGTTGGTTAAAGAAGACTAGGGGAGGAAATTAATTGAAGAAATAAGTTAAAAACCTCACAATATTTAAGAACATGTCAAGTTATCGGTTCACACTGGTCATTTGAATGTGGAAAAAAGTGTTGGATCGTTAGAAGAGTGTACTCTAAGAGCCGCGATTCTAAACGAATTTGAATTTCACTCAAAACTTCATGTTAAGAATGTCCATCCGGGTCTCTTTTGCAAGTAAAGAGTTGATTGATTATCAAATTAGGCAAGATTGAAAGTAGGTAATTACTTCCCCAAAACCACCCTTTATTCAGGGTAACCTTAATTATTCACTTCTTTTTGGACACATATACAGTTCCTTTGTATGACTGCTCGTTGGCCTAATTTTAATGTTTATCCACTGCATGTCACACTCTATACCCACCTGCGTTTAAACTAGACCTAATCAATCAATATTAATTGTTCTGGCACTAACGAAATTCACACTACGGATGACTGTGCGCCAGTACTCACACTTGAACTTTACTCACTAGCTCACTAATGTTTGTCATTTTGACACACAAATGCACCCACCGGAAAGTCTGCTTCACATGTAAATAAATCTCTTAACTTAAAGGTTGCTGCTTTTTTTCATGGAAAGCACAAAATATCACCTGGTATTTGACCTCAAATGGGTCATCTGATGGTTACTTTTGAGGGATCACCGGGCATGTCGTTCGCCCCAGTAGGTAGTTAAAGTGACTGCTTAAAATCCCAAATGCATGCTGTCTCTTTCCCTGAAATTGGTCATCCATCGAATTTCGATAAATTAGTGTAATCAATATTTTCAGTATGGGGTGCGCGATAGACTTATCTCCACGTGGTGCACCCTGGGCAACGTATGCTCATACGGCAAAAAGTCTATTAACCGGCAGTCGACTTCTCACTTCAAACTAAAGTCTATTACCTGGCAGTTGACTTCAAACTACCATGAGTAAGTCTATTAACTGGCAGTTGACTTCTGAGTTCAAACTATCATGACCCCAAGTCTATTAATCGGCAGTTGACTTCTGACTTCAATTACCATGATCTATTAACTGGCAGTTGACTTCTCTATGTCATATTCGTTATATTAACTGGCAGTTGACTTCTCACTTCAAACTACCCCGTCAATTACCTGGCAGTTGACTTCAAACTACCATGATCCCTATTTAACCGGCAGTCGACTTCTCACTTCAAACTACCATCACCCCACTGTATGTCGCATTCGCCCCTTTACACAGTACTCATCTTACCTTTTCTCTGCTCTTTTGCGTGTCTGTCTGTCTCTGTCACATCTGTGACTCATTATTCTGTCCCCCCCCCCTCTCGACTTTTGCCACTTTGATATTCCTCCTCCTCCCTGTGAAGCCTGAAGTCAGCTAAATGGCTAATGATAACTATCAAAACGCCTGCCATTTGAAGTAAATACATCAAATACATAAAATAAATAAGTAATAATATTACCGAAGTCAGCTAAATGGCTAATGATAACTATCAAAACGCCGAAGTCAGCTAAATGGCTAATGATAACTATCAAAACGCCTGCCATTTGAAGTAAATATTTTCAGTATCGGAATAAAAAATTATGAGGCATAAAATGTAAGCCTATCTACCCAAAAATGATGACATTTTCCACTGCATAAGAGCTTGTAAAATTTGACTCTTCGGGGGTAGTTTTAAGGAGCATTTAATGCATATA